CTGCATTTCGCCTTTGTCTACTTCCTCCCGTCGGAGTCGGTCAGCCTGCTGACGGTCGGGCTTTTGGTCACCTCCTTCACGGCCAGCGTCAGCAGCTTGCTGACCATCACCATCGACCGCTACCTGTCCCTCTACAACGCCCTGACCTACTACTCGGAGCGGACGGTCACCAGGACTTACGTCATGTTGATCCTGACCTGGGGCGCCTCCGTCTGCTCCGGGCTCCTGCCCGTCCTGGGCTGGAACTGCCTGAGGGATCCCTCTGCCTGCAGCGTCGTCAAACCGCTGACCAAAAACCACCTCGTCCTCCTCTCCCTCTCCTTCTTCCTGGTCTTGGCGGCGATGCTCCAGCTCTACATCCAGATCTGCAGGATCGTCTGCCGGCACGCTCACCAGATCGCCGTCCAGAGGCACTTCCCGGCCGCTTCCCACGACGTCACCAGGCGGAAAGGCATCGCCACCTTGGCCGTCATCCTGGGCACCTTCGCCTCGTGCTGGCTGCCCTTCGCCGTTTACTGCTTGCTGGGGGACGACAGCTACCCGGCGCTCTACACCTACGCCACCCTCCTCCCCGCCACCTACAACTCCGTGCTCAACCCCGTCATCTACGCCTTCCGGAACCAGGAGATCCAGAAGGTGCTGTGGGCCGTGTGCTGCGGGTGCTTCTCCGACGCCGTGCCCTTCCGCTCCCGCTCCCCCAGCGACGTCTGACACGGCCCCATCCCCACCGGTTTCTCTTCCCCTTCCCACCCCGTTTTCATTCCCAGAGACACGTGGAGGGAGCTCTCGGCATCATCCCAGCTCCGTCCTTTTGGGCACACCCCCCCTTCCCTCTATTTTTCCACTTTTTTAGTTTACAGAGAGAAAACCGTATTTTTTATCCATCTTATCTATATTTATGCCTGTGACGGGGGGAGAGCCTCATATTTTCTTTAAAACGATTTATGATGCTTTATTTTTTTAAGGGGGGGGCGCGACCGTCTCCCCTTTTGCTTTTTTACAGCCTCGTTATTTACCTCAGAGAGTTAAAATATATTTTGTACATGCAGCGGGGGAAGGGGAAGGGGGCAAGATTCACTGTGAGGGACTCAAACCCACCCCCATCCGTTTATTTATTGTATTTTAATTATTATTTAATATGATTTTAATGACCTCCCC